TTAATGATTCTATGATTCTATGAATTTTTTGACACACCTTGCAGTCTGCCCTTTGTGGTTTTGTACTGCGTCCATTGTAGAAAATAAGAGATTAGGGAATTCCAATAATTTTCTGTAATATAAAAGCTTCTCATTGAACCGTTTCTCTAAATTCTTTGGCAACTCTCAGAAATGTAAAATAGGATGGGAGAGTAAACAGCATTTCCCTGCGCTGTTGACACTGGGATGGCAGGAGAGCATGTGGGGGGGCTGTATTCCCTCCTGTAAGTTGTTTATAAATAGCATGATCTGCCCCACTGTGTGTGTTCTGCTTCTGTTAGTTAGCAGGAGTGAGTTGATGCTTTCCTGTCTGGCAGTTCACTGACTTAATGCATGTTTGAGTAGCTGGCCTGACTGTTTTATTGCTACACATACTTTTCTATGGAAAAACTGAGGTGGGCAATGCAAATGGAACCAGAACTCATGTCCCTGCCTTCCCTTTCATTTCCTCTTCTCTGGTCTCTGCCCTCCTTGGCGTGTTTTTTCCTCAGGGCGTTTCTCCTAGCTGCTTTTCCTATACTGTGCAGGTGCAGGAACATGTCGAAGCTGAGCATCGTGAAAGGACTCTAGTCACTCTCCCGTTTTGGACCCTCTGAGCCGTGTACAGAGGGAAATTGCTGTGGTCTTGATAATTGTAGTTAAGTTTCCCCTTGCAGCCAGCTTCCTGTGTGAGTTACTGCTGCTGTAAAGTATTGTTTGAGTGCTAATGAGGGGGTTGTCCATCACCGGGAGAAGTGCTGTTAGGCTGGCAATGGGTAATTAATCAGGAAGCAGGTGTGTTACGCAAACCCCGTCAGCATCCTCACTGGAGGAGAAAACACTGGCCTATTTAAGGAGAGAGGGAGCTGCCTTGACACACTGTGCTTGGGAGCCAGGTATTCTGAATTCTGTATTTATGACTTCCTGATTCGAGGCACGTTGCCAAAGGGGCTTTCACCTCTGCTAGTAAACGTCTCTAGCTGTTGAAAAGGTCCAAGTGTCATTATGAGAGTTTATGGCACAGTTGCCTCTGGAGTACTCCACGGAGTAAAATGCTCTTCTGTTGGTTCAAAGAAGATAGCGCTGAGCTGCCCTGGAACCAAGTCTAAGCCAAAGCTGGCCCAGCTGCCTTTTGCAACTCAAGCCCAAGCAATGTTGTCTTCAGTAAACATTTAAGAAACAGGGCTCTCCTTGTCTGTTTTAATGCCTGTTAAATGATGTGCTTTAGTCAAGAGACGCGAGTTCTGCTTTCTGGGATGAAGTTCAGTCCCTGCCTGTGAATGTCTGTGGTATGGGAACGTGGCCATGACACACGGCTAAGAGTGATCAAACAGACTGGTGAGGTTGAGGGACGAGGACAGTAATACCCAAAGTTGAGTTATGATCCCGAGTTGTTGAAAAGAAAGCCTGCACTACTGCTGGGTCACCCTTCCATCCAGATGCACTGGACAAGTCCTGTTGGGTTGTAGTGATTCTGCTCTCAAAACCAACCGTTGCTGGCAAATAGTCTAAAGGGTAATTGGTAATCCTTTTGGATGCCTTTAACAGGGACAGATTTTTAAGTATAGTTACAGATGCTAGCAGTGAGAATTAAAAGGAAAGAAAGGTTGTGTTCATCTAGTGCTATGACAAGCAACTCGGCATCATTTTTTCTGCTCCTGTGTGATATCCATAAGGGAAGAAAATTCTCTTGCAGAGATAATTACTGCAGCACAATGACAAGTTCACAGTGCTTTGCAGGCAGGAGGAGTTTGCAATCTAGATAAGGCATCCTTGTCATGTCTCTGCAAGCCCTTTGCTAGCCTCTCTGTTCATTCCAACATGAGAAGCTCCTCGGGTTCGGCTGGGTAGATAAGCTTGCTGTTAATCTTGGCATTCAGCTCATCTGATCTCCCTTTGCCCAAAAGTCTATTTAGGAAGACTGAAATCTGTTAAAATTGCTCTTCCTTAATGCTGGGATAAAGAAAAATGTTGGTTGATCAGAGAGATCATTTAGGGTCAGAGTGACCATTTTATTCCTGTTAAACCTTGTGGAATAACAGGTGCAAGTAACTGCTCACCAGTGTGAAGGTGTCAAAATAACCGTGCCTAGTTAGGGCTGGGCTTGTATTTGGGCGAGTCCTACACAGGTACATTAGAGTGCAGCCAACACAGAAAAAAATTTGAGGTTTATGTCTCCTTTTGGAAATCACATCCATGTAAAATTTACCAAACACATGAAGATGGCAATTACTTTCGTCTTTTTAAGACTTACTAATGAGTTTACTGGACATAACTGTATTTGAAATCTTGTAGCTGGGTGTGTGGCAGTATTCCCCATACGTCTCTAGTATCTCTAACCAGTTCAGAAGAGACAGTATCAATTATCTGTAACAAGTGCTGTGAGTGGGATTTTAAACTGATGCGCTTCTGCGGTTGTTGAATTTTGCAGAGTATTACTGTTATAACCATGTAATTGTAACAGCTAGGAATTTGTGTTTTGATGTTTGCTTACCTTGATGGTTTTGGTTTTTCTGCCCACAGGACTAGAGTGAAATTGGAAAGCCTAGAAGATGCTTATATTTTAAGAGGAAATGATGACTCTCTTTCTGATAAGCATGGATGCCCAGCCTATGTGAGTCCAGAGATCTTGAACACAAATGGCAGCTACTCTGGCAAAGCAGCGGACGTATGGAGTCTAGGTGTCATGCTTTATACCATGCTAGTTGGACGCTATCCTTTCCATGACATTGAGCCTAGTTCCCTCTTCAGCAAGATCCGTCGTGGGCAGTTTAACATTCCAGAAACTCTATCCCCCAAGGCAAAATGCCTCATACGTAGCATACTGCGTCGGGAGCCATCGGAAAGGCTGACTTCACAGGAAATTCTGGACCATCCATGGTTTTCTACAGATTTTAACGTATCGAATTCAGGATATGGTGCTAAGGAAGTATCAGATCAGCTGGTGCCTGATGTCAACATGGAAGAAGACTTGGACCCGTTCTTTAACTGAGCACAAAGACTGGTGTTCAGAAGGTACACAACATGATGGACACATGAAGGAGCCCTTCCTGACCGTGTTAAATCACATCCTGCATCAGCCTAGCTTGGTAGCAAAAGACACTCAGAGGTCCTCGGATTGAGAAGGAACCTCCACAAGGAGCTAATATAACAAATGTAGCATGGGGACAGATTGGGGGGGCGGGGGGAGCTTGCTATCAGGTTAGATTGATTTGGAGGAGAAAAGGCAGCATGGAGCAATTGTAGCTTCTCACCTTTTTGGAGCCAAGGAGACTGCACATGCCAATTCTGGTGCAGCTGTATCACTCCTGTTTCTGTTCCATTAAAAATAGTGGTAACTCACGAAAAATAGAAACTTTTTTGCCTCAGCTCACATCTTGGCATCGCACTGTTAGATATTTAACTTCAGCCATTATTCAGGGAAAGTACAATTGGCTAACATTTTTTTTTAATCGGGTGTCTAATAATTAATGGGATTAATTTAAGAAAAAAATTAGGTGCACAAAGACGGACATGAAAAGTGGGTGCTAAAAACAAACAAAATTTCAGTTCATGTCTCTTGATAGCTATTTTCAACTCATTTCTTCTAAATAAACTACTTAATATTCTTGTCAGGAAATGACATTTTAATGCTTTGTTCCCTTAAGGGGAAGTAACTCTCATTTAACAAGCTGTTCTGTTTTGTGTCAAATGGTTTGTTGCAGGAAGCTATTATAACTCGAACTTCCAGATGCATTACTGCTATAATAGGGAAAAAAAAGAAGAAAACTGTATAATTTTTTTTTTTAAAGATATGAGATACTGGCTTCCATATCTGCCATGCTGCACGTATATGACTAGAGAGGGCAGAAAGCCCTTAATCGTGTCTTTATCTGAGAACCGATCTCTTCTTTAACTGACTAGCCCACATGTAAATAGAGGGCTCTTTATTATTGAAGAAGAGTATTTTGGGTTTTTTCTTTGAATTCCTCTCAACTTGGGAAAAGAATTGTTTGGGTTTGATTTTTGTTTATGTCCAGAATAAGAAATAAGAGGGTATTAATAAGCTGAACATTTATATTACAGATATTCCTCTTGAAACATACACAGTAATATGCACCTTTTGTATTGTCAAGACTTATTCTATTTATTGAAGAAAATGTCACAGTAGTGATGTATTAAGCCAGTACTTCAATTACGGGTTGACTTGGGATGACATGTTACATGCTGTAGTTAACACACTTCTTTTCTGTTCAGGTATTTCTGTCCCTAAATAACTTTTTATTTAGCTTCTTTTTCTAGATAGCTTTATTTGATTTAGACTGGCAAATGTTTTTATTACTGCTTTTATATTGCTGTATGATATTGAAATCTCTTGGCATAAATATTTGTGTTTCCAGTACCTCAGTTGTTCTGATATTACTGCCTGTATACGTTTTGTGAAGTGGTCATGTTTTTTGGGTAGGTACATGTGGACTCTGTAGTATGTAAATGTTACTTGAATTTGTGCTTAATTATAGTATGTGGCATGTGCGTACAGCTACTTGGCATTTGACGTATGGATGCTATTTGCCTGCCTTGCAGGAAAGTTATGGTCCCACTCTCAAGAGGATGTTTCACAGTTCTTTATCAAGAGACAAAGCTAGCTGCAGCTGACCTGCCTTGGTTCTATTTTGGTAACTAAGAATATAAAGGAGTAATGTTTTTACACTCTGAAGATGGTGCTGTGTCAAGAAGGACTTTTTTTATTTTATAAGTACCTTATAGGAGGAAAGATTGGTGATGTGCATGGTGGGGTTTTACTGCCTCTGGTGCTTTGTCATGTATTTGGTTTAATGTTTTTGTCCTAATCTCTTCAATAAATAAAATTGTGCATATTTAACTAAACTTCAGTGGTGAACAATGTTCTTACTGAATGTCTGAGGTGCTGCAGGAGTTTGCTCTGTTAGGATCATTTAGCTGGTATTTTTTGTGCTGCTAACAAGCTCTTGCCAGACCTGTGAGCTGAGAAAGCTTAGCACTTACATTTACAAGGTAACACTGTAAGCCTTTTCATCAAAAATTTTACCGCTTGCTATGAATGAAACAGGCTTTTATTTTGTTTGTTTTCTTTTGGCTTGTTCCTACCACTTACCAAGCCCATTTACCTTTTTCGAGGAGGGTATTGAAGTGCAGTGAGAACTATGTCTTTTTGGCGATGGTGATTGTCTCTTTAGCTGATGGAAAGAGATACCAGAGTGGAGCAAGTTGGCACTTGCACTTTCCAAAGTCCTAGAGAAATGTGCATCTTGCACTTGCACCTCAATTCTGGAAAGGATGGATCTGAAATAGCACCTCCTGATTTACTGTCTTTTATTTAAGGCCAGATTCTGTTTCTGTCATTCATCTTGGATAATAATTAATAGATGCAGATAATGAGATCACATAGAAGTGCATGTGGAGTAATAAGGTGCTTTGTGAACATGAGGCAGGACAGATGAATCCTGGTCCATTAAGAAAAGACCATTTGAATTGGGCTTTGATTTGAACCAGGATGCAGTCAGTCTGTTTTCAGCAGCTCTATGGTTTGAAAAAGCTATAGGTGGCTGATGATCAACCCTAAAGAAACCCCCCAGCTCCAAACCTCTCCACTTCAAAATCAGTATTGCACCAGAACTGCTAGCATAGGGATTACTGTCAGGTGGGCTAACTTTGTACTACATGATTTCATCCTAGGTAATTCATGGCATGTGTTGAATATTTCAGTCGGTAGGTTGAAAATTAAGAAGGTTGATTATAGCACCAACCAGAAAAGTTATTAACATGTAGAAACACTTGAAGATCAGTTTTTAAATGATCTGTAAGCCTGCAGCCAAAGTTTAAATTGCTTGAAACTCTTTCAAATCAAACTCCCACAATAAATGTGCTTTATAGAAAAAAGCAGATTGTAATCAGTCATAGAGAGAAGGGGAGGGGGGAGCGCCGAGGATTTCCCTCTCCCCCACTAAAACTTATGTGAATGGCTTCTGTTCTGTTTGGGTGGAAGTAGTTAGACCTTATTTTACAGCAACCTGCACGCTTGCTTTTTCACTGCCAGTAATTATACGAAAAATGCGGCTGACTAATGATTGCTCGTTTGCAGTGAATTTTTTATTTGAGGCAAAAGCTTTCTTGGTGTTGCTGCGGAGGAATCCTTTGGCAGCTGAAGTCAGCTTTGTAAAATGCTGAAGGGGTGCCTTGTTTTCGGAGCTTCCTTGTCCCTAAAGTGAAACCTGAGAGGGGGATCTGTGATTCAAACAGCTGATTCCTGCTTCATGGGTGCTGTTAGTGGAGTACGGGTATAGCACTGCTTGCTGCATAAATGCCTCAACAGCTTTCTTAGCGCTGCTCAACCCTCGATTTGGGTAGCAACTGCAGTGGGATGCAGGATTTTGCTGAGCAGAGACTGTCAGATGGGCTTAGCTGCCTCCAGGTCCTGGGGAAAGGGATGATCTTCTTACAACTGCGCAGGGTGAAAAGCCATGTCTAAAAACAAAACCATTTCACAGAATGTGACCCTATGGCAGACTTTGGGAGCAGAGGCCCCCCAACCCCTCTGTCTCCTCTACCCCTCCCAATTAAAAAAAAAAAAAAAAAAAAAAAAGAAAAAAATTTTTTTATTTTGTTATTTACCACAACATTTATTTTGTCAGTGCAGCACTGTGTGTGATTTCAAGCTACAGGCTCTTCTTCAGGACTGCACAAACAAGTGACAATTATTCCTTTGGCACCATGATGTCATATAACCTGATCCCTTAGCCTTACTGAGGTGTGCATGTGTTATGGGGATAAACAAGTCAATTAAAAATGCATTCTCTTAGAGGTGAAATAACCTTGGTAAACCTGTGTTTCTGAAAAGAAAAAATAAAAAAAAACCCAACCCAAGCCCCTAAAACCCCAAACCACACTTTCCTGGCAGTCAGAGAGGAAGGGTATGAAATGTGATGATGCCAAGGAAAAATTATTGGGAAGGGGAAAAAATAATACTCCTCATCCTGAAATGATTATGTTGAAATTTGGAAATGTATGAGTGAGCTCTGTGACTAATAGCATAATGAATAGCAAAAGAATTAGTAATGATCAGTTCTTTATTCTTAAAGTTTTGTCTAAGGTTTCTATGAAAAACTTGCTAATTTAATAAGTGACAGTATAGCTAACAACTTAACTAGCTTGTAACTTTCCTATTCTTTCAGTAGAAGCAAATGTTGAAAATTGGTAACACGATGAGACAAATTGAAATCAAAGTGTAAGTAAAGCAGGGTATAAATGACCTGTAATATGGTGTAATTCCACTGGAACATGAAAAACGACCGAGGAAAATTTCTTTCAAAAAAAGAAAAAAAACCAACAACCTTAAATCAGGCCAGTTCTGGCACTGACTTTTGCTTTTCCCAATGTCCTTGATGGTTACATTCTTGGTACCAGTTTCCATGCCTCCATTTCTGCTTTTTTTGACTTCTGAATTAAGCCAATTTAGGCTATTTGGTTGAAATTTTGATTCTCCTGAGATGACTCCTCAGAGGTCCCTATAGAAGTTTGAAACTCTAGGCCGTATTTGGCTTGGAAAGTTTTAAGTATATTGGTGAGTGTATATAAATGTGAGGAAAAACGTATTTACAGTGATGGGAGTGTAAATCCTGAGAAATTCATTTGATATTATTTGTGCCGATGTAAATGAGTGGATTCCATTTCTTAAGGGCCTAAATGAGCCTGACTTGTGTGCTGAGAGGTGTCATTTATTCTAGTTATTATTCAATTTAAATTCATTTAGACTCCTCAAAAAATGGCTCAGGACAGGAGTGGATCACGTTGTTCTGGCTCTCCTGCCTCCTTCGCACAACATCCATAGCCTGCAGGGGAAAAATAAAATAATCTTGGTGTGGCAGCTTGTGGAAAGTAATAGGTTAGCTGCTGCATTTATTTCTGCTCAAGAGATTAGAGCGTAGTTGCAAAGCTGGTGCTGACATCATTCCAAGCACACAAAAAGCTGACGTCAGTTATACAGTATATTGCAAGGTGTTTATCTTCATCTGATTAGGTTAGCAAAACGCATACTGCAAAGGCAGCACACAAAGAAGGAAACAGGGTGTTTGTCTGTGCTTCCCACTAGCCCTCTGACACCGGAGTCGGTCCTGGAAAGACAGAAACACTTTGTGCTCGATAAGGCCTCTGTAAAAATCAGTGGAGCTACCATTGGGCTTGACTTCTTCCCATCTTAATCTCCAAACATCGGTTTGTTTGAGGTGGGTGTTGGGCAGCCCCCCTCTCAGGGAAGTCCAGATCTGAACTTTTCGCCTCCACAAAGCCACTCAAAGTGACAAAGTGAAAAAGGGTGCTGTGACACAGCAGTGCAGATGCTGATCTTCTCTTCTGCATGCTCATCGAAGAGTGTGTAATCGGTCAGCAAGGAAGGCAGGAGAGCTGCTGCCGGCTGACGAGTAGCAGGGTGGGAGGCTGCTGCCCCTGCCCGTGGCCCCTGCCTGCTGCCTCTGCCTGCTGCCCTTGCCCACTACCCACTGCCCTTCCTGCTGCCCCTGCCCTTGCCCACTGCTCGCTGGCCCTGACCGCTGTCCTTGCCTGCTGCCTGCTGCCCCTGCCCA